GCAGCTGGCGTGGGCAGCGTGTGCTCATCGCAGCCCGAGGGTGAGGGCCGCTGGGAGCGTGGAGGGACGCACCCGCGCTGCCGTGCTGGCAGACTTCCGCGGGTTTTGGTTTTGTTGCTGCGGAGGAGTAGAAAGCACTGCTGCACCGCTGCTGCCCGGTTGCTCAACTTTCAAACTTTTTGTTCTCTTGCTAGACCACGTATCTTCAGGTCAGACGGGTAGGCAAGAACCACCAAGGTCGATGTTTTAAATTTTTTACGGTGGTTCTTAAGACAACGTGTGGACTATTTATAAAACCAGACAGGGTGTAATAATATTTGGAAAATGTTGGTCCAAGAAAGAAGCTTCTTCAAACTTGCCAAAGGAGCAGGTCAAGTACATTTTACAAGTTATTAAAGTAGAATACAGCAGACAAAATGAACATTTAGCTGTCAGTCATCTGCAGAATTATGAAGTGGTTAATATTTAAATAGGACTTATTTTCCCAGTGCTTAATCTCAGGCCTTTGGCTTTCAAGTTCATTTTTAACTTCTGCTTTGGGCAGAAGACTGAATGGTCCTGTCAGTGATTTAAGATTTAGATGTTTACTTAATTCGCAGAAAGAGCCTGTTGCCCAAGGTACCAGGCTAGTTCACAAACTTCACAAAGAATAACTGGAGTATGCAGGCATCCCCAAGTGGAAACCGACAATGAGATTGGAGTTCATAAACAGCGATTCTCCAACTTAATGAATTAATGGGTTTCCTTCTCCAAACTGAAGATTTCTCACATTCCTGGCAAATCTCTAGCGGGAGGAATACAGGGCTATTTTTTTTACTAAGGAATTAGCTAGTTGTTTATTAACTTGTCTGGTAAAAACACTCCTCTGTACCTTGATACTAGAGCTTGAGGTTTCCACTGAAGGAACTTTGAAGAAAGTTGTTCTCATGTTTGAGGAAGATGCACACTATGCAAAGGTTATCATTCTGCAGGGGAAGTGAACGGATCTGCATATTGTGTTAGACTTTCAGAGAGCAGCTTGTCAAGAGAAACATGTCTGGTGTTTGGCAGTAACAGGGATTGCAGTCGCCTACCACTGTTAAGGACCAAGGATTGTTTTGCTGACCATCTGCCTCGTATTTATCAATCCAAAATTATCTCAGAGCACAGATTATTGTAACACTGAGTGGGGTCTCCTCTGCACCCTGTTAATAAAGCTTCTCCTCCCTTTTAGAACACTTAAGAAATTCTCTCTGCTCTTTCCTTGCTTTCTCATGCTGTCAGGAGAAGCTAACCTCTGCTAAAATGTATGGCTGAAAGCCAGGAGTATTTAATTTCTGATTCTGCCACGTGAAAAGCACTTCTCTATGAGAAAAGCATTAATTGACTCCCCAGCACTCTTGTGTTTCTTATTTAGTATCCTTAAGGTCATTGGATAGCAGAGCCTGAGTGAGCATGTGTTTGAATCGCAAGGAGATGGTATGAACTTTTGCCATTTTTCTTCTTTCCTGTCTATGTAAATATGGTAAGAATGAGGTGGGAAAAGGGAGACGTTAATTTTTCTAGGATTTTTTGCCAACTGGTCAGTGATGGTGTAATCGTAAATGGATAATCAGTGAAGCATCTCTTATAAATGTACTTGCTATTGATTTTTCTTCTGAAGAGTGGAGAGTCTTGCTTTGCCATTGCAAACAATCAGCAACAGATGAAGTGTTAAGAGTGCAGGTCCAAGCTTGGTTTAAACGTTTTTTATGATTCAGTTGTTTTTATGAAATGGCCATAGTGAAAATAAAAAAATAATAAAAGATCGATAAAGAAATGTGCAGCTGCACACTGACACGCTATACTGCTTGTTAAAGCTATACTGCTGCTGTTCAGAGGCAGTCTGGCATTCCTTTATTTGCTGGATTAGTGAGGCAGCGTGGATGAGAATAGCACCATGCTTTTCTTCAGGAGATATCTCTCTATTGTTCATTTCAGCTGGCTTTGTTGCAGTAGGTCTTGTGGGCACAGGAGAATCTTTAGTCTCCAGGTGCAAGGTTATATGTAAAGTAAAAGTTTGCAGAAGGTAAGCTCCTAAGCTGTCTTTAAGCTGACTTTAAAAACAGTCAGTGGAACCGTGGTTTAACATCCGTTTTCCACAACTATTGTATTACAAGTCTGTTAGTTCAAGAATTCTGAAAACGAAGATAGGCTGTTGCTAACTAACAAGAGAAACATAAGTTATCTGTTACTTCACTGTTCATTAATGAGCAGCTGATTTTTAATAGGCTGTTGCATGTGAGAAAGTGACACTATATGTTTGAAATTAATTGAATACCAAACAAAAAGACAACCCAGTAGTGCTGTCTGTCGCTGAGCCAGTGTTTGTACCAAGTGTGTAGTAAGGGGAGTTTGCCAGCCATTCAGGTCTGTGCAGAGTCCTGGAGTGGCAAACACTGCACTGCTGCTCCCAACTCCACTGTCACCTTCCTGTTGTGGCAGGGACGTGCTCATGGCCTAACAGCAGAGCTGTGTTACGCTACGTCCCAGGAACACAGGTTTAGCCATCCCTTATGACACCCACTCACACAGCCAGCATTCCAGTTTTGGTCTCCACAGCCCTTTTTCCTTACAAGATCCAAGGATCACAGCTAAGCCACTTGCTCTTTTCAAGACAGCTGTTCGTTCTTCAGCCATAGCTGCAGAATTCAGCTGCCTCCAGCTGCAGGTAGCGTTCTGCAGACAACTCGGGGGGAAAAATGGATTTCTTTTTCAGTTTCCCTCAAGCTGTTTGAGACCTTTCTCTCTTCCCCTCCACCCCAACTGTGTGCAGGTTTTTATGATTTTTCTAGTAAAGCATGTAAGTCTTGTTTCAGTGTTCTTTAGATCTCTTTTGCCTAATTCATTGCCTAGTGTATTGTCTGCCCTAACACAAATCAATACGGTTGGTTGTTTTATGATACTGATGTTGAATCTTTTTTTTTTTAAACTTTCAGGTTGCAGCAGCCAGTGGTCACACTGTGGTGTTAGTAGACCAGTCAGATGAAATCCTTAAAAAGTCTACAAAAGGAATTGAAGAGAGTTTGAAGAGAGTGACAAAGAAGAAATTTGCAGATAAGCCTGAGGTTGACATCATCTTCTTTATACCTCTAGGAAAACTTAGGAGAATAAAGCTACCATACTGAAGTTCTGATATTGTGTACAGTTATGTATTATAGAGCATGTTAATATACTGGCTTAAAAAGAAAACATTTTCCAGTGTGCTGTAGAACTTGGATTTTTTTTTTTTTTTTTTTTCATTCAGGGAGGTTGAAAGATGACTTACCTTATTTTCTTTCCTTTGTAGACTTCAGGCTTGAGATAAAGATTTAAATCAACTTGGTGACCTTTTAAAACAGATGCTAAATGTGAAATGGTGCCAAATTATTCATCCTAACTTAATAGCAAGCTATCTTTGAGTGCTTACCTGGGAATGCACCAATTTTGTCCAAAAGCCAATAGTAACAAAATTGTCTTAATACCTTTGTAAGGACTCTTTTTTTTTTTTTTTTTTTTTTTTAGACTTGGGCACAGGGTTACTGCAAAGGAAATTAAGGTGCAAGTTTAACTACCCTGAAGTAACATAAATTAGACGTACTTTTCATTTACATTACTGAGTAATACATACAGCAAGTCACTGTGAAGCAGCCGATGCATCTAAATTTATATCCTAAGTGAAGCAGGCGATGCATCTAAATTTATATCCTAAGTATGCTAAGGGTTATTTGTTGCTATGCCTGATTCTCTAAATTCCACAGCAGATCCGATTCTTCTTTTGATACATATTAACATATATAATATGTACCAGTATTGATGATTACCAGGATGAAGGATGCAGCAGACAAAGGAAATGAAAAAGGGCTTGTTTGCATGGCGAGTACAAAAGAAAAATTATAGTAAAACCAGGATAACCAGAGCAATATAAGTTCCTCTACATAATTATGGGGAGTCTTTTAATCCAAAAGAAAATTGTCCACATGATACTTGTACTTTATATATGACATTATATTCTAGTGCGCAGGTATGTTTTCACTTGTACTATGTCTCCATTTACCCTTGGTTCAAAGTCTTGCAGTTCTGTTTGATTTCTGTCTTCACAAACTATGTCAGTGATTGGCAGATTTACTAGTCAGAAAACAGAATAATTTTTCCCCACATTTGCATTGAAGCTACAGTGAGTGTAGGCCATTTCATTTCCTGAAGTATTCATGAACAAGCACATATCTGTTCATAGGGGTGAAACCAGATAATCACTGAATGGAAACAATGCAAAGGTTTGAAATTGGAAAAGCTTCTCTTTATGGAGGGCAAGTCCAGGTTGTCTCAGAAACTACTGATTGACCAACCAGTTGTTCACTCAGACTCTTATGCCGAAGGTTGGACTGCAGCAAATAGTCTTCCTAAAAGAATGAATTCAAAGATCTCCTATTTGCTTCGCAGCAGATTTGACTGGCTAGGAAAATTTTGTCAGTGAAAGCATTGTATCTGTATATACTTGGAACTTTCTCGCTGATTTGGAAATGTGGCAGTGATTTTTTCAGGGCTCAAAAACACTTCAGAACACGTAAGGGGATTTTCCTGTGAAAATAAATTAAATCATTGTAAATAGACATTGCAACTTCTTGGAAATGTTTCAGGCTGGCGCTGAGTTCATTGAGAAGACCTTAAAGAACCTCACAACAAGCACAGATGCAGTAGCAGTGGTCCACAGCACAGATCTGGTGATAGAAGCCATTGTGGAGAACCAGGAAATTAAAAATGAACTCTTCAAGAGGCTGGATAAATTTGCTCCGGAGTACGTGTATTTTTCCTGTTACATTTTTAAACTTAGACCTTTGTATCTTCTGTTTCTATTCTTACACCGTTAGCTCTGCATTGTCTTAGCTGCCTTTTTTAAAAACAGGAGTTTTTCTCCCTTAGACTAACTCCAGACTGTCATGTGGTATGGAATAGTTGTGCCAGGTGCATATGCTACAAACACTTTTAGATGTATTCAGCCAGGTTTATTTACTTGTTACATTGCTTCATTTGATGTGCTTCTGGATATGTTTAGTCATAAGGTGTGTCCATCTGCTCGGCAAGTTCAAATCCAAATGCACAACAGTAGAATAAGCTTATCCTGATACACAAGAGGTATGGTTGACATACATGTTCCCATATTTAAGTAGGGAATTGGGATGATGAAATATTCATTCTCAGCATGCCTAGCGTGAAAAAGTTTTGAAAAGTCTCAACCTCTTAGCTGTATGTCACAGTCAGCTCAATAGTGGCTTAAGTGAACTAACTTTGCTTTGTATTACAAGAGTTTGGAAATAGCTCATTGCTGGTTATTGTGTGTGAGGTAAAAGTGTAAATAATCTACAGGGATATTTCTAAGAATTCTGTAGATGGTTAGCCAATGGATGTCTATCTATGTTTAGTGCACCAATCTCCTACTGTCAGAAAAACAGCTGTCATTTATGCAATCCATATGTTCCATTTTTCCAGGCATACGATATTTGCAAGCAACACTTCATCCTTGCAAATCACGCAGTTGGCTAACTCAACCACCAGGCAGGACCGATTTGGTGGTCTCCATTTCTTCAATCCTGTGCCTATGATGAAGCTTGTGGAGGTAAGTGTTTTATAGCATCATCATCATCATAATAACCACTGTAGCACAGCAATGCAATTGTCATCACTAAGAATTCAGTTAGATGAAAGGGTAGATCTTAGTTTGCAGCTCTTCTGATGTGGAATAAGCTACCTCTAGTGATAAGAGGGTGGTGCAGTCTCTGTTGAGGGAACAGACAGAGGTAACTTCTTCAGTCTCCAGGCTCCGAAGTTCTCCACTGAATTGCCAACAGAGGTGCTGTTTACGGCGGTCATTTCAGGCACGAAGGCGAGCTGATTGGTAAGAACTACTGACAGCTGAAACAAAATCATCCGATGACTGACACAGGAATTTGATTGTTACCAGTGTAGAAATTTATAGAAAATGATGTGCAGGTGAGATCTTACCCCCTTGTGATTTTTGAAACAAAGTCAGTCATGTTTGTTTCAATGTTACAGATGATTTGTCTGGAAATGTTACAATATTTCCCAACCTTTAAGGAGGTGTAAAAAGCAGTTTTTACATAACTCTTCAGATGTCTTTTCTAAACATACTCTCTTTGGCTACATCATGCAATTTCTAATAATACTGCAATGCAGAGCAGAATAAGAAATAATCTGATATTAGAGTTTATCTGAGCCTTCAAAGTAAAGATCATATTGCAGAAAAACCGACAGGTGTCTCTTCTGCTTTTTCTCACCTTCCCCTGTTATGGCTGACCTTGATCAGCTAGAATTTATAAACTCTGGAGTAAGTGAAAATAAACTTTGCATTTTGGCCACTCTGCCCCAGAGTTGCACATACTTCATGCCCTTAAATGCTGTAAATCTTTTTCCTGTGTCCCATGAGTGATTAGTTCTAGTATTGCTTTGGTGACAAGCACTTCAAATATGTTCTGCCTGCCTTTTGAACTCCTGAGATTCACTTTATTATATTTTTTGCTTGTTTCCTATTAAAATACATATGCAGTTGCTTGCTCTGTGGCTTTGAATGTATCATTCTCTTCCTCCCCCTTTTGAAATGTTTGAACCTTTTGGCTGAAATGAACAAATTTGATTCAGAGTACGGTTGTCTGACGAGGGCTTGGACACTTGCAAATTCCCTCTCACTAACTTCTGTACCCATGTGGATTTTTAAAAATTTTTTTTAGTTTAATATTGCACCCTGTATATTGTGACTAAATGCTCTGAGGAAATGTAGTAAGAAGGAAGGGAAGGAATTTTGTAGGTGTTGTCAGAGATAACAGAAATCTTTAGCATAATTCCTTAAGCTAACATAGGCTTTATTGATTTCTGTGCTAAGAACTACTTGTTGGCAGTAATTTATTTCTATGGATGAAATGTTCTATGCCTTGTCTCAAGCCTAAAACAAGTGATAGTCTTTAGAAATCTAAACTAAGCCTCTGTGAGGTTTGAAAAATACAGAAGATACCTATCATCATTTGTAAAAAACAAAACAGAGCAATCCCTGTATGACTGCTGTGGTCAGTCTTTATAATTTGTGGGTTTTTTCACCTGATTTATGAATGACCTAGCCCAGAGTCACTCCAGTTGATGAGCAGTATTTGAAGAACTTTAAAACACAGAAGCTGTGCTTTTAGTGACTTGATCTTGAAAGGCACCAATATTAGTAAATAAATACACTTTTTAAGGCTTTGCTTTTGTTTCAGATCTACTGCTGTAAATCATGATTGGCATTGGCAAACACTGTAAAACAGTATTTTCTATGTAAAACAGATGTTTCAGTTTGAAATAATCGGGAGAAAATCAAGAGAGTGGCCCAAACTATAAAAGATATTACTGAAATTGCCAGTCATCTGTCATGGAAGCTGTCCTTCATGGGTCACAAGTCTGCAGTGTCTTTGAGTCCTATGTGCTGTTTTCATAGATTGTTGATCTCATGCTCAGAAGCGCGTAGCTTTGAAGGGATTTCTTTCTCTAATAATCCAAAAGACTAGTGCTAATGTTTCAAAATTCTGAAGTGTATATTAAAAATCCATTCTTGAAACTGTTGCAGTCTTATGTAAGTATCTCAGATATTTTTAGCTAATGTCAAAGTAAAAGAACACTATTTTTTCTACTGAGAAACAAGCCTTTTCCTCAGTTGTAACGGTGTTTTTTTGTGTTGGCCTTACGTCAATCATTAGGATGGGGGGGAAACCTCTGTGTGACTTAATTGTATGAACAAGGAGGGCAGCCTTAACTGCTTATGTATAGCATTTTTCAGTTACTGCACATGGAGGTCAGTTTCAACACAAATATCACAACCAGTTCAGATTATACAAGTTGTTTTTTTTTTTTTTTTTTTTTTTTGTGTGTGTGTGTGTTGGGGGGGTAGGTCTAATAAATGACTTAATGCATCCCAACTCTGGTGAAGTATAGAAAATACTACATGTGACAAAAGACTCAGTTGTGAAGAAAATCAACATGGAAACATACTACTCAAAAGCTGAGAGGCTGTCACATATTTGAAAGATAGATTTTAAATTTTCTTTAGAATTAAATGTCCGTGTCATGTTTACATTGGCCACAGGGTAGATGTTACAACCCTTTATATCAGGAACTATGTCTGTTAATATGGTTCCCTAGATTGATGCCGTTGTGTTTCCTAAGGCAACAGAGACTATGTAACTTTTAAAGTTGTCCTGTTATACTATAATCTCTAAATGGGTTTCCAGAGGATGGTCCCTTTTACCATCCATACTGGCTGAGTGGGAAAGTATCTTAAAGAAACACATAATTTCAAAATGTGCAAAGTGCTGTATCTATCTTTAAAATAGATTTCTGTGTCTGTTACATATATATCCACTGAAACTGGTTTTTGCAAAACAAATGTTTTGGGAATTTCTGGAATAGTGTTCTGGATTACAGTCTAATCATTGCTGGACTGGGAAATGAGAGAGATTCTGCTCATAAACGTGCTTACGCTCTCCTCACCTTCCCTCTGCCCAGGTCATCAAGACTCCAATGACCAGCCAAAAGACTTTTGAATCACTTGTGGATTTCAGTAAAGCAGTAGGAAAGAGTCCTGTCAGTTGTAAGGTGAGTACGTTTTGGTTGCATGGGGTTCAGAAGGTCTGTTCTTGAAAACTGTTCATTTTAAGGTGGTAGGTTTTAGTAGATGTAAGAGCACTCCAAGAATTTTTTTCAAGTTAGTTTTTTTTTTGTCCTGTTTCTCTTCCCTATTAAAAGCATTTTGAGAAAGAAAATGCCCACATTTACCACAAATTCCTCGAAGTAGAGACATCTTGTGAGAAGCAGCAAAACTCACAAGTATCAGGATTTAGCTTTTGGTTTTTCTTTTCCAGTCCTGCAGAAGCCTGGACTGGAGAGCTTAAGCAGGAGCTCATCTTTAGCCATGCTAGAGACAAGACTGCTACCTCTTGTATTGTGAGGCAGTTGGATGGATCCTCCATGGTGTGTGCTCATTGCAAGTTTTTCTTAAGACTGCAGTATCTAGACCCATATTAATCTTCGCAGCCTTGGGTTTTTTGTCTAGAGGAATACCCTGCTTCCTAAGCACACTTTTTCTGAATCCATTAAGTTGTGGTCTGGGTAGCTTTATGCAAGCTATTGCCTTGGGAGACATTTGGTCATAAAAAGAAGGGCCTGCAATCCGGTAGTTACCAGTAATTCAGTGTCTGGATGCTAGACTCTTAATTCTGGCTGTACTGCTAAATTGCTCTGTGGCCTTAGTTGACTTTTTCTTGTTTCTGTCACAGTTTTGCAGTATGTAATGCGCAGAATATATGATGAATTATTGTTTATAAATTAGCTTGGGTAGAGGTTATGCAGTCTCCATATCTGAACTTTTTTTTTTTTAGTTCAATTCCTCTTTGTAGAAGGAAAGTACTTGGAATTCTCTGGATTAAATATTGAGATAAAATGGAATGAACAATAAACATCTGAAACAGTAGTAGTATATGAAATAATACTGTATTTGCAAAGCTCTTTCTCTTTTCTTTGTAGTTTTGACTTTGATTAAAGCTTGTGTAGAAGAAGTTCTGTATCAGTTTGTTATGTTTTTCTGACAGCATGTGTCTTATCTTTTCATTGGTAGCGTTGGTGTTTGCTATGGAGTGATCCTAACTTTCAAAAGCATGGTTTACCAGTGAGCAATGGGGGAGAAGTACACTATTTAGCCAGGAGTGTTTCTAGTAGTGAACACACCAAAAAAAACTGTTAGGGAAGAACTGCTCTTCTTGTATCCTTCAGGAAATTGTATCAGCAGAATTTTGCTAAAGAAAAAGCATTTGCCAACTGACCACATTAAATTGTTTTAAGATTAATTGAGTTGGGCTTGTAGTAGTCTTATTGTTCTCAGTCATGATGAATGTTTATGTGCCATTCCTTATTTGTGAAATTAAGCGTTTGTGTTTTAATACTGAGCAGATAAATCAGATGAAAAATACAGTTTAAAAAGTACCAGAAGTTGATGATTCAGTAAGTGTCTTCATCCACTTGTTTAATTTGTCATGTAGCATTTGAATGTAGTAGTGGTAAAGAATGTTTATTTAGAATCCCTTTTTTTCTTTTCACAGGATACTCCAGGGTTTATTGTAAACCGTCTCTTGGTGCCATATATGATGGAAGCTGTTCGACTTTTTGAGAGAGGTACTTGTTGAATTGACTTCAAGGAGTGTTGACGCATAACACTGCTAAATGTTATATCCCTTCAGAAAAGCCTTGGGATTCCCTCAAAACTTTCAGACCTTAAAGGCTGAAAGTGAATAGTGAACATCAAATATGAGCCCATGTGTGTAGTTGGAAAGACTTTGTCTTTACTTTGAAATGTCAGTGCGTGCAGAGTCGGAAGGTACTCGTTACTTGTGTGGGAAATTTCTGGTGGTGGAAAATGTTTCTGATTTGGGGATGACAAGGTGAGTGTAGTGCTATTGTAAAAACATCCTCTGCCAACTGATCTGGAACCTCCCTCTCTCCATCCTAAGAGACATTAATGAAAGTGGTTGAAAATCCCATAGTGGAACCATTAGCAAAGTTCTCCTGAGTTCATTTATATTGGGCTTGTGAAATAAAACACCAATTTTCAGGTGAAGTGAGTAGTATAGTACTCAGTGTCACACTACGGTACTGGCATACAAGTGATTTGGGCTCAACTATTACCCCACAAAACCTCCTGTTCCCCTTCTATGTCCTTTATTAGACATAGGTTCGTTAGGAGCTCCCATCTCACTGCTGGTCTCTTTTACATTAATACTGAGGGTAGAAACAATCATGAATCTTCAAAGAACCACTAAATTTTTCAAAGCATTGGTAATTTTTTTGAAAAGGAAACGAGCCAATATAAACAAGTGGATATAAGAGGAAATTATGGCATATAATTGCTTTTATTTCAAGTGCTCTGCTCATAGCTGTGTGCTACTAAGAATGTAATTTGAAATGTTTTGTTTTTGAAATCACTGCTTTTTTACAGATGAAAGCACTCCATTATCAGGATTCCGCCAAATATGCTTTAAATATTAAAAATCTCTTATATAGCACATGGAAGGGATGGTTTGATCTCCAGAAAAAAATATAAACCAACACTTCTCATTTATCCATCAACAGATGTACTTACTTACATCTCAAAGGGAGAAAAGAGCAAATTTAGTGACTTGAAAGGCAAAGGCATGGATGCGACGGGGCGTTACTCTCTTAGAAAAAGTCATAATTTTAAATAAAGTGTATGAGTGTTCCAGTGTGTGTAAAAGAGGTGCCTTTAAGTGACACGTATCGTTATGCATATTTCAGGAGACAATAGAACTTTTAATTAAATGTAGAAGAAAACAGTCACTGAGATCGTATGTTAAAATTGACTGTTCTCTGCCTAAGCAAAACAATATTTTGATTTCATCTTTATTCTGTTTGTATTTTGTTCAACAGTATGATATTTCCAAACTTGTTAAAGGTTCATTTATGAATTTTTAACTCTAATGAAATCTATTTTAAAAACTGGTTAATGTTTTGAAAAGCCTGATGGCTGTCTTCTAATTAATATTTTCCATTGAATCAGGTTAAATTTTTATCATATCCTTTGCTTTAGTTCTCAGAATAGACACTTGAGCCAGATTGTGGTCCACATTAGTATGAAACCTATGGGCAACGCCAAGCACTGAAATACCATTTTATTGGGTCAGTCCTTGAGTCTTTATTTATACAAAATCTCCTTGGGTTAAATGTGCGCTTTTGCATGGGCAAAATACCTTTAGTATATTAACAGTGATTTAAACAGCGGGCTTATTATAAATGTCAATGTACAGTGGTCTGTACTGCCCTATTCTTACTGGTAAACCAAAAAATCAGTCAGACTTCTTCTATGGAAGTCTGCTTTATACTAGGAGACTAGTGTGAACTAGGGGTACAACCCTTGTTTGCCCTTTTACTATTTTGAATTTTATTGTAACGCAACTGTATACTATCAGGTGGCCAAGTCCCAGGTTTGACAAAGTGGGACAAATCTGTTGCTAGAAGTAGTATGTACATCTGCATCAACTTCAAATGAGTTGAGGATTTACGTGTGTTTGAATTTGGGGAACTGAAGTTATGTTAGAATTAAGTAAGGCTAATTTTCCCAGTTTCGCAGAAGTGAAATGTGGTTTAAAAAAAAAAATTGTCAGCTTAAAAGGATAAAAGGAGATCTCTAAAAATTATTACTTCATACAGAACTTCCACTGAAGTTGTTGCCTTTGCAAGAGATTTTGAAAATTTATTTCTAAGATTCTCTGATCTTAGGTGTATAAATTGCATAGGCTATGTTTGCCAAGGTTTTCGACACCCTGAATGCCTGTACACATCGAGCATGGAGGTTATTTAACAAGTACCTCTGGGGTTTGTTTAACTTTGTCCTTTTTATAGGATCTGCAAAGAAGTGCACTGCCTTTATCGAAATATGTATTAGAAATAAGCAGTAGAGGTGCATCTACTTTCATGACAGTATAAAATATGCATTCCCAGTGTCATGGTTTAACCCCACCCAGCAACTAAGCACCACACAGCCGCTCGCTCACTCCCCCCTGGTAGGATGGGGGAGAGAATCCGAAGGGTAAAAGTGAGAAAACTCATGGATTGAGATAAAGACAGTTTAATAATTGAAAAAAAAAGAAAAAGAAATAATAATAATAAAAAATTGTAATGAAAAGGGAAACAACGAGAGAGAGGGGAACAAAACCCAGGAAAAACAAGTGATGCAACCGCTCCCCACCAGCTAACCAATGCCCAGCCAGTCCCCGAGCAGCAATTGCTGCTCCCTGGCTAACTAGCCACAGCTTATATACTGAGCATGACATCATACGGTATGGAATATCCCTTTGGCCAGTTTGGATCAACTGTCACAGCTGTGCCTCCTCCCAGCTTCTTGTGCACCTGGCAGAGCACAGGAAGCTGAAAAGTCCTTGACATAGTCTTAAGCACTACAACTACTTAGCAACAACTAAAACATCAGTGTGTTATCACATTATTCTCATACTAAATCCAAAACATTGCACTATACCAGCTACTAGGAAGAAAATTAACTCTATCCCAGCCGAAACTAGGACAGTATCCACCCCTTATTCTATTCCATCTACGTCATGCCCAGGTCCTATATTTTCCAATACATTCCAATTAATCACCACCACTTTTCCTGTCTTTTGATATATACACACAGATATCATTCCCTCAGTCTATGGGCTATCCCTCCAAAATGTCTGTTGAGTTCATTTAGTCCATGACTTTGGGCTCCATCTGTCATAAGAGTCTTTCAGGGCAGGAGAGATGGTGCGTGGTGTTGGACTGTTGCATGCTGAAGCCAGTTCTGGTTCCATCACCTCTCCACTTTGCTCAGTTTCATCAAAGTTCATTCTTCATTAATCTGGGTGATTCTTACTGTAATACCATTGATATGGCAAATAGCAACCGTAGAAGTGATGACATAGACTATTATATAGCAGTTAACATCATACAATTCTGTTCATTGGCTATTTTCATCCAAAATCATATCCCCTTGAGGTACATATCGATCTTCCCCATCCTTTCACATTACCCACCAAGTGCATCCAGGTCCTTGAGCAAAAGCAATCCCACGAATGTGTTTTCCCTTGCCTGAGGCAGGAGTAACCCAGACTGTCTTCCCCAGCATATTTTTAATGTGCACTACAGGGACTTTATCCCCCTCTACAGTACGTAAGGGTTTTGATTGGGCAGGGCCAGCTCGATTGGCAAATCCCCAAGTGTTGACTAACCAGGTGGCTTTTGCTAAATGTGTATCCCAATGTTTGACCCGTTTTATCGTTCGATTTTCCCAGAGGCTGGTGCATGGTAGGGGATGTGATAGACCCACTCAATGCCATGCGCGTTGGCCCAGGTGTCTGAGCCCCATTGTCTGACTCAATTCTTTCTGGGGTGCTATGTTGCCATAGGACTTGCTTTTCAAGGCCCAGGATAGTGTTTGGGGTGGCGGCATGGGGCATGGGATATGTTTCCAACCACCTGGTGTTGCTTCCACCATTGTAAGCGCATAGTGCTTGCCTTGGTGGGTGTGTGGGAGCGTGATATAATCAATCAGCCAGGCCTCCCCATATTTATATTTTAGCCATTGTCCTCCATACCAGAGAGGCTTTAACTGCTTGGCTTGTTTGATTGCAGCGCATGTTTCACATTCATGGATAACCTGTGCAATAGTGTCCATGGTCAAGTCCACCACTCGATCACGAA